CTGACAGCATATTTCAAAAGAAAATGTGCAAACGACTTGTTTAAACTTGCAAATAATCAAGACAATTTTTAAAAATTTTTGAAATTCAAATGAACCTTGTAAAAAAATTTTTTCCGAGGGTGCGGCTGAAGCCACACCCCCTCTTTCTAATATTTTGGGGTCATGGGCCCGCAAAAATTTTGGTTCGAAAAATTCGGAGTGCGTGGCTGACGCCACGCACTTTTATTTGAAAAAAGTTTGCTCCCCCCGGGACGGAAATCCTGGGATGCCACTGGTTTTTGGTCACTACGCCCCACCAGAAAAGTACTAGGTGCTTCTTATCGTGAGTATATGAAGGATACACATCCTCACAACATCGAGATAAAAAGCCTGTCTTCGTACCTAATGAGCTATATATCTCCTGCACTTCGCTTCGGAAATTCGGAAAGAAAAACGTCTACGCAAGTCAAACCCATTTGCACTTAGGTGGATGAAGGCGCGGAAAATAAGCGTAAAGCGCACGCTATCCTTTTCACTTCATTAGTCGTACTTTGTTTTGTACTACTTGTGATCATGCTTATACTTATTTTTTGATCCAATGTGATTATCACGGCAAAATCAAACATTATGTTAGGAAAATTTTGTGAAGTGAACGTGCAGAAAAACTTGGTGCTTTTAGGTGCTGTTCAACACTTTCGCTGATGCCTAGCAAAACTCCTAACATTGCGAGCGTTCCAAAACCCCGCAGAATTCACAAAAGTTAGTTAGCGGAAATGTAATCAAAGATACTCTGAATAGACACCAGCCTAGACATAGGTGTAAATTTATATGCCGCTAGCATTAGTGAGTGATGTACTAGAATTCATAAGTACGCTGTATGTCTTGAAAAAGTCCAACCTTCTTTGCTTCGTCAACCAGTCCCTTCACAAAAGTGTCATATACAGATGAATGCACGAATATCCGACTCGAACAAAGGCATATTTCACCCTGGTTGATAAAGCAGGACCTAAAACGCACTTCTGTTCAAGTTAATAGCCACATTAAAGCAAGAGGAGGTTCACACTTTGCAATAGTGGAGAGATTTTTTTCAAGGTCGCAAGATGGGTAGACAATCGCAGCATTCTTTCCACCCATTTCTAGCGAGATTTTTTTGTTGAGTCGAGCACCCACTTCCGCTATTTTTTTGCCAACAACCGTGCCTAAAAATATATCCAAATAAAAGATGATGCAGTGAAAGTTATGAACATACTTCCCGTAAAGCTCACTAACGGCACATCGGGATGCTCGACCAAATGTTGCCCAGCTGATGGACCAGTACCAATGATCATATTCACAGCTCCGGGCGGGAATCCTTGAGGATAACATTGATCAAGGATAACGGCCATTTTGCACTTCTACGTGAATACTGTAACCGCTCGGGCTAGCAGAATGAGTGCGTCTCTGCTGTTGCTATCACATCTCAAGTACAGTGGTCCCAAATTGGGCCGGACCATTTTAAATTTGCGCTAAGCAGTAGGGGTTTGCGCTGCATATGCGCAGTCGTAGAGAGCGAAGAGATTGGAGAGGGAGAGACGAGCAGGTCGTGGACGCGACGCAAAACTTCAGCGACGCGGATCTCCGCCACGCCAATTTGGCCTGATCTTTTTTTTT